ATATATAGTAGTTATTTCCCATCACTAGGACAAAATACCCAACACCCATAATTTAAAGGAAGAGCGACTTATCTTGACTCACAGTTTGAGGGTTTAGTCCATGGCTGGCTGGCTCCAAGGCAGAAACAGCATAGTGCAAGGGCATAGCAGAGTAGAGCTGCTCAACCCATGGCAGCCAGGAAACTGGGAGAGAAAAGAGGAGCCAGAGATAAGAATATATTCATCTAGGTCATGCTCCCAGTGACCTCCCTCTTCCTCTTCCAATAAGGACCCTCTGCCTAACAGCATACTGATATTAACCCACTGATGAATATAGTGCCTCCATGATCAATCACCTTCCAAATGCCCCACCTCTGAACACATGATGAGACTTCTGGGGGACATTTTAGATCTAAACCATAACATTTGGCTCGTAGTAGCTCATGTTTATCTCATTATGAAAATATATTTAGTTTATCTCTAAGAGTAGTTAAAATATTAACAGTTCTAACATTGTTTAAGTCCATAGTCAAAGTTTCCTCTGAGTCTCTTGGCAAACTCTCTCAGCTATGAATCCCTGGAAAAATATGAAAGAAAACTACTTCCAATATACAATTATAGAGGGAAAATATTTGCATTCCAAAAGGGAGGAATGGGGGCATATAAAGGAATTGGACTAAATCAAGACTGAAAGCCAGCAGGGAAAAGATTAAATCCTGTATCTCCATGTCTGGCTTCCAGGGCACATGGTGGTGAGATAAAAGTTCAAAGGGGTTTGGGCAGCCCTGGCCCTGTGGTCTTGCTGGTCTTGCATGTCCTCTCTTAGGCAGTTTCTGCTCATTTCCTGCAGCTTTCTTTGGCAGACATTTCATATTTCTGGCTTCTCCAACTTACTGAGGTCTCTACTGTACCTTCACCTTCATTTTCACACCTTTAAATATTGCCCCCCACAAGGGGCATGTTGTCTGCTCTCCCAAGATTTTGAAATCCGGGTGAAAGTCTCTACAATCGCATTAACTCTTGCTTTCTCCATGACTATAAAAGCAGTGCCACATGGATAATGCCAAAGTCTGCATCCAGCTCAAGAAGTAGCTGGAACCATAGTGGCAGTGGTCTCTTGAGTGCCTGGATGACTGAAATTAGGAAAACACTTCCCTGGGCAGCCCTAAGTAAGCAGTGTACCCCAGGGCTATCATTTAAAAAGTGAAGTGGTTTTCTTCCTGGTACTAAGGATTGAACCAAGGGCTTTCTCACTGGGCTACCTCCCCAGAACTTTTTGATTTGAAACAGGGACTTGCTAAATTAATAAGTTGTCCAAGCTGGTCTAAATCTTGTGAACCTCGTGCCTCAGCCTCCCAGAGTACTGGAATTACAGGTATAAAGTATTTTTTTTACGAGAATGTACACTTTTACTCCCTTGAGCCTGTGATGGGTGTGATCTAGCCAATTTTTGAAATGTCTCAAAGCATCTTTTAATTGTCATGATTTTTTAAATGGTGCTATTATTTTTAGCAGCCACATTCTCCTTGGCTTCAGTTTTACATACACTTTCTTTCTAGTGAAACTGTACAATTTTTAAATCATTTGGCTTTTTATTTTATATTGCTTTCACTGTAGATCTGGCTAAAATCAGCCAGCAGTACCCATGTCACAGTTTGAACACTGCACTGCACTGCCTTGAAACATTTTTGCCAATTCATTAGTCTGCCACCTTTAAATTTAGCCTCATACAAAGTCTGAGGACATGGACAAGATGAAGATAAGGTCTTTGCCAGAATGTAACATGCATGTCGTTAAGTCAGCATTCCAGTAGAGTCCTTGTTCCCATCTGAAACCTCTTGAGTCTGGCCTTTATCATTCACATTCCAATCAGCATTCTGGTCTTTTGAGCTCTCAGTAAAATTGCTCATTAAGTTATGCTTACAGGATTGTAGAGCTTTTCTAGCAGGCATCTCTAAACCTTTCTAAACTTCCCCTGTGTTGTCATAGGGGACGCAAAGGAGAGCCAGACAGCAGGAATGTAGTTTTGCTGAGGAGTAGAGGGCTGAAGCTCTCACAGGCAAACAGCAGCCAACTCTCACTAAACTCGGTTTTTATTAGATACATGCACAAAACTTCCAGGGGAATAAACAGTTAGTTCCTTACAGATTATCTCTTGCAAAGCATTAGAAAATATTTTCTATGAACACCTGGTTCTAGTTATTCATATACTTTCTCAAAACAGAATGTTCCCTGAATGTTATCGGATGGCTCTCAAGACTGTTTGCAGCCTTGAACTTCTGAGTTGTGGCTCTCTGTGTGGAACCACAACTGCAGTTCCTATTCCAATCTGTGTCCCAATGTAACCTTCTCCTCTACACCCCTGCAAAATAGTTCCAAAGGTTTCTGAACCACATGGTCAGGTATAGCCACATGGCTCTACCCCTGGAACCAATTTTCTGTATTAGTTACTATCCCAACATTGGAACAAAATATTCCACACCTATAACTTAAGGGAGAACAGGTTTACAATGCCTCCCCATTTTAAAGGTTTACTCTGTGTTTGGTTGGCTCCAAGACAGCAATACCATGGTGAAAGGGCAAGGTGAAGGACAGCTGCTAAACCCAAGATGGCCAGGGTGGGGTGGTGGTGCTGGGAACTGATACATCCTTCCAGGGCACTCCCACAGTGACCCACCTCCTTCAACCAGGTCCTACCTCCTAAAATCACATTCAGCTATGGATTCATCAGTGGATTAATCTATAATGAGTATAGAATCCCCATGATCCAGTTCACCTTTCAAAAGTTACACCTCTAAATGCATGAGATTTCCAGTTGACATTTAGATCTAAACCATAATATATACCAATCTAATACACACACACACACACACACACACACACACACACACACACATATATATACACCAATCTAATATATAACAATCTAATATGAAGGGAGGGAGGGAGTGAGAGAAATAAAAAGAGGAGAGAGGGATAGGGAGGACGAGGAGAAGGAGGAGGAAGAGGGGAGGGAGAGAATGAGAATGAGAATATGAATGAATAACACGAGCACTGTCAGAAGAACAAGCAGGGGTGGGGGTCAGTAAGGATCACCTCAAGTATGTGCTTTACCCAGAGATATGTGTGTGGGGGGTGGTTAGGCAAGTTTGTATATAAGGCAGGCCTATTGGCAGGGAAATTTGAGTTTTGTTACTAAGGTCTTTCAACTGATTTTATCAGGCCACCCATGTCTTCAAGGTTATCTCCTTTGCTTAACATCAGCTTGTAGTTGTTAACCACAACTTTAAAATCCCTAGAACAACACTAAGATTAGTGTTTGAGTGAATACAGCCTAACAGAATGGACACTAGGCTATAGTGGTTACTAGAAAAGTAACCATCATAATGGTGATCTTTGCCTGCCTGTTTGTATTTAAAAGTGGGACCCAGAAAAGCTGATTGGAGTGCTCCTACGCAGGGACTACCAATTGGATGATTTTGCTTTGGGGTGAGAAAGATGAGAACCATATGATGAGAGACCCCTAAAAATACCAGAATTTGAAGTCTTTCTCTTCCATAGGCTCTTTTATTTCCCCAAAGAAATCTCCGAAGTTTCACCTCTGTTGCAAGGAGTGGGGAGTGCTGGGTGTATTTGCTGTTCTGTAAGGGCTGGAGCTGTGAACGTAATAAGACATAGTATTTCAATGACTGTCACTATGTGCAGGCCCATGTCGTACTCTGCCCTTCACAGGACCTGGTACCTCCCAAGTCCCAAGGCTTTCTAGGGTTTTGCCTGGCAAACTGGCTCACTTAAGTCCATAGCCCTTTCTGTGAGGCTCATTCCTAATTCACTGAAGTTTGTGGCTCCCTTGACATTTCGTTATGACTTTATTCACTTTGTTTGGTTTGGTTTTTAGACAGGGTTTCACTATAGAAACCTAAGTTTCTCAACTTAGAGTTGAGGCCAGTTTTAAACTCACTTCCCAGGCCAAGCTGGCCTCAAATTCATGATCCTCCTGCCTCACACTCCTGAGTACTGGAGTTATAGGTGTGTTCCACCATACTGGATTTGCTTCTATACACCTTTTTCTTTGCAAAAATCATCCTTGTAGATTTATAATCTTAAAAAATTAGTAGGGAGACAATGTGCTAGCTTTTTCACGTCAAACCATTCAGGCTAGTTTTTGTACAGAATAATCTTAGATAAAAATTGAGAGAAAGTGGTACAAGAGCTATCTTTCTTTGCATCCTGGGGAACCATAACAAACTGGGAAGGGTCTGCTCCAGGGAGCAATCCAGTGGCTGAAATTTAGCTTAATGCTGAATACTGAGAATAGCAGTGAAATTCTCCTTCAGCTGCAAGATGTTTCAAGTCATACAAAAGTATCTGTATGCTATGAAAAGCAAGATATGCTTATCATCTTCTAACCAATATCACAGCAAACTGTTCTTCCTGGAGGAGGTTCGGATGAGGCTGTTCTGTCCCGTTAGCTTGTGTGCCTCCAGATAGGATGACTGAAAAATAATATCATGGATCAAATGAATCATTATAGATGAAGAGTAATGTGATCCTAACAATAGCAATGTTACCTGTATGAAAAGGGGAGAAAGATGCAGAAAAACTTAAAGCAAAGAAGAGGAAGTCATCACGTTGAAGAGGAAGGGCAGCATCTCCAGACATCCAGCCCTCTCCTCTCATCATCTAGCTATCACAAACTCATCCTTATCCTCCTTTCTAGTCAACACTAAGCCCTATTATAAGTTTATCAGAGACTTTTAGAAGCAGGCCAAGGGCAAAAAACAATGAGAAAACAGATAGATGACTGGGAAATAGAAAAAAAGGTTCTCAGCCACACATGTAACCAAGAATTGGTCATTTCAGCAACAGAAAGAGAACGTGGAAGGACTTTTGTCAGGCTCTCTGGTTTGAAATTTTATAACAGGACATTCTCTGTGCATATCACAATATTAGATTTCAGATAAAAATGACAAATATGATGGTTAAGTTTGATTGTGTCAACTTGACTGGCTTGGAAGCCACCCCGGGATTGGTGTAGCACACTTCTGGGTACATGTGGGTTGGTCACAGAGGCTTGAGCTTGTGGGTCTATGTCCTTTCTTAGCCCCTTCCTCTCTGGCACTGTTCTCTGCTCTGCTTCCTGGGTTCCTTGAACTAAGCAGCTTTGTTCCACCACACCCTTCCCTCCATGTTCCTTCTGCTTTGAAGCCAGCTGACAATAGTCTGAATTGTCTGAAACCATGAGCCAAATTAAACCTCCCCTCCTTTAACTTGTAGGTATGGGATATTGTGTTTGAGCAGTAGGAAAGCTAACTAATGCAGTATTCTTAAGGAAAAAACTATTTTGCTAGCTGGAAAGTATGAAGGTTTCAATATTTGTCTCACAGATTAAGGGCTAATCAAAATGTGGTATATATTCACAATGAAAACTCATTTGGCCATTAAAAAGTACTGATACATGCTACACACTGCTTTAACCTTAAAAATATGATCATTAATGAAAGAAGCAAGGATAAAGACCACATATTAGATCCTATTTATATGAAATGTCCAGAATAGGCAAATTCATTGAGAAGAAAAGTAAATTAATGGCTGCCTAGGGTTGGTGGCGATGGGAGGTTTGGGAGGTGATGCCCAAGGGTATTGATTACTTTGGGGATAAGGACACATTCTAAAATTAGATTGTGATGGGTTTTTTATCTCTGAATATAAAAAACCAATGATTTGTGTACTTTAAATATACAGCAATAACTCAGTTTACAAACACTTCTGTTTACAAACAATTTGTTTCACAAACAAAAAGATTCTGCAAGGTTTTTGCTTCTGTTTGTAAACTCTGTATCAGAAAAATACAACCATGGCCATCTTCCCCACAGAAACACAAAAGCAGCCATTTTCCCCAAATTATAAAACAAATTAAGTTTGGAAACTGAGGTATCACTGGACTTTGTATGGTATGTGAAATTTATCTCAACAAGCTGCTACCTGATAAAACCACAGTATTCTGGAATATTAGCATCCTTAAAATTTTTGTCACAATTGTTAAGAGGTAGATTTCCTCATTGGTTGGGATTTGGAACACTAAGATTCCTAAAGAAAAAAGAAGACAGAATAAAGAATTTTGGTCTGGCATAATACTTTCAAGATGAAGATTTACAAAAGTCACAATTCATCAGTGTGGTTTTATTCTCTTCAAAAATACTTGGGGGAAAGGCTATGGGGCTGAGTGTGTAGCTCAGAGCACACATGAGGCCCTGGGTTCCATCCTCAACACTAAAATAAAACAAAACCAAATCAAAGCAACAACAACAAGACCGCCACCAACAAAAACCACCCCACACCCAGCTAGAATCAATGTCAGTTGACTTACAGTCAAGTTATAATTATGCCACAGAGTAACAGAATAAACTTAGATAAATCTTTCAGGCTATCAAAACCTCAATTTTCTCACCTAGCAAGTGGGTTAAATAAACTGAGCCTGTCCTGTAAGTTTTTGTGGGAAGATCAAATGAAAAAAACAGAAAAATATACAACTAAAGATGGCAGGCTGGTTAATTTTGTTATTGTTATTAGTAATATCAACTGTATATCAAATTAAGATGGTAACTTGCTGTCTTAGCTACTTTCCTCACCACTAGCACAAAATACCCAACACAATTTAAAGGAGGAGAGGTTTAATTTTGTCTCTCATTTCAGAAGTTTCAATCCTTGCATGGTCAGAGGCATGGAGGAAGGGCTTGGGCAAAGGGAAGCTTACATCATGGCATCTGGGAAGCACAGAAAGAAGGGAGGAGCTGGGAAGAGAATATACACTAGCAGGTCATGCTCCCAGTGCGCCACCTCTTCTGATCAAGCCCCGCCTACTAACACCACTTTTAGCTATAGCACCACCATGATTCAGTTACATTTTAAAAGCCCTGCCTATGCACACATGAGACTTTGAGGGGTCATCTAGATTAAAAAAATAAACATGATATTTCACTCCTGGCCCTCAAAAGACTCATGCAAATCTCTTTATACAGAGTGCGTTGAGTCCATCTCTAAGAGCTGCCAAAGTCCTAACAGTTCCAGCTGGAAAGTTCAAGTCCAAAGTCTCCTCTGAGACTAAAGGCAAACTTTTAGCTGTGATCCCTAGAAAAGTAAAAAAAAGAAAGATAAACACTTCCACCTTACAATGGCACAGGGTAAATATTCTCATTCCAAAAAGGGAGACATAGGCAGATCGAAAGGAAGGGACTACAACAAGATTGAAACCCAGCAGGGCAAACATTAAAATTTGAAGTGCTGTGTCTAGTACCTGAGGCATATGGTGGTGAGATGTGAATTCTACTGGTTTGGGTAGCCCTGCTCCTATGGCACTGCCTGCCAGAGCCCCCATGGCCTCTCCCTTGGGCTGGCTTTGCAGCTTTGCTTAGATGTTATTTCATGTTCCTGGAATCTCCAACTTCCTGCGGTCTCCACTGTACTTTTGGCTTCACTCTTATAGCTTCATAAATTGCCCTCTTGGGTGAACACTGCCTGGCTTCATAGGACTTCTGAAATCTGGATGGAAGCCTCCCTGACCCCACAACTCTTGCATCCTGCATGTTGGTACACCTAACACCACATGGAGACACCAATGCTTGCCACCAGCTAGATCATTAATGGGGTTCTCTTGAATCATGGCTACAAAGGTCTCTCAGTACCTGGGCATTGTGAACTTAATCCTAACCAATTCCCTGTACAGCCATTTTGGAATATAGTGCACTGGAGTTTTCTTCTCAAAGGAAAGTGTATCACTTTTGTACCTCTTAGCCTGGGAAGGGGTAGGGTTCTGTTGATTCCTGGGATGCTCTCAGGGCATCTTTCCTATTGTCCAGATGCAAAATAATTGGCTTCTTTTTAATTAATCGCCTCTAAAAGCAACCTTTCTTTGGCCAAAGTTTTATAGGCCATTTCTTTCTGGTAAAACTAAAAACTTTTCAAATGGGCTTTTTATTAGAGTACAGGTGCTCAAAGTAGGTACTCATGATTCTCTGGATTTCTGCTTGATCTGTTGTGTCTTCACCTTTTTTACTCCTAATTGCATGGATTTGAGCCTTTTCTTACCTTTTTCCAATAAGATTGGCTAAGGGATTATAAATTTTATTTATTCTTTCAAAAAAACCAACTCTTGGATTCTTTGATTTTTTTGTATTGTTCTGTTAGTCTCCATTGCATTGATTTCTGCTCTGATCTTTATAATTTCCTCCCTTGTACAAGCTTTGGGTTTGTCTTGTTCTTCTTTTTCTAGGATCTTAAGATTCAAATAGGCTTTTTGCTTCTGATTTTCAGTATAAACCTGGCAAAAACGAGCAAGCAAAATCCATGCCACAGCCTGAACACTGGGCTACTTTGAAATTTCCTCCACCAGAGTTTTTAGCCTGCCACCCTTAATCTCAATGTCTGGCACTCTTAGGACATGAGTAAAATGTAGACAAATTTTGTTCCAGAGCATAACACATGCTGCCTAGAATCCAACTGCCAATGGAGTCCTCATTCCCAACTGAATCCTCCTGAGCCTGGTCTCTACTATCTGCCTTTCTATCAGCATTCTGTTCTTCTGAGCTCTGCTAAGAATCGCTCATCATTCAGTGTACAGCATTCTAGGACTGCTTCTCCAAACCTCTCCAAACTCTTCCCATGAATCACTTCGAAAGGCTTCTGAACCATATGGCCATGTAGTCACAGTGACAACCCCATTCCTCTGATACCAAAATCTATCTTAGTCACTTTCTTGCCATTAGGACACAAAACTGGACATTTCCAAATTAAAGAAACAGAGGTTTATTTTGACTCATGTTTTAGAAGTTTTTGTTCGTGTTTGACAGGCTCAAACATAGAAACATAATGGTGGATGGACCTGGACAGAGGAAAGCTGCTCATCTAAGGGCAGACAGGAAGTAGATAGTAAAGGAAGGAACCTGGAAGGGAGATAGAACCCTGGTGATCCAACTCTTCCAACCAGACCCCACCTCACCTCCTAAGGTCATATTTACCTATAGTGTCCCCATGATTCAATCACTTTTTTAAAGTACATGAGGCTTTGGAAAAATATCTGCATATAAAGCAGAACACCTGCTAATCCTGTAAAGAATTTATTCTTTATATTTGGACTTATAGGAACTGAAAAACATGTCTTACATATTAAATCCTCTTTGTATGTTTGTATTGGTCATTGTTACCAAAGAATATGTATTTTTGAGAAACAATAAGTTAATGTGTACAGTGATGGACTTTTGCTTGTGTCTATCATCTGTTCTTTTATCCACAAGGAACCTATGTAACGAGTCCAGTGAAACTGATTTTCTAAGATCAAGCTGTTTAACACAATATTTTCAGATGGCAGTCATCATGAGTTCCAATTAAACTTAGCAAATGTTTTATTGGATAGTAGAGAACTTCAGCAGTAAATACTCTATGCTTGTTTCATTGCTTAGGACTAAATTCTTCAGGGCCAATGTGGAAATAAGTAGTCCTAGCCAAACTTAAAGAAAGAATTGGAAAGCTATGATTCCAAATTTCTACTTTATGCTCATTTACTTCAAGCGATTAAAATGTACATTTCTAGTATCATCTCACAGTTTGAGCAGGTACCAAAAGTACTACATGCAAGGGCTGATGCATTCATAAAAGCAGTTGTGTGCTCCAGTACAAGTGTAATTGCATTGGGAAAAGTCTTAAAGCATCTAGCCACCAAAATAGAGTGAATTATGAAGGAGCCACCCCCCCATTTTTTTCCTCCAAAAGGCTTTATTTTCTTTGGGTCCAAGATGTAGGAGGGGGCTCCAGAGGTGAAAAAAATTTTCTAGTGCCTGGAAGGAGGAGGTTAGGCTGAAGTCATGATGCCAGGTGACACAGGAGACCGTCAGAGGCTTCCAGGCTCTGGGGCCTCTTCATCATGCTTGAGGGGGAGCCTTTTTTTTTTTTAGTCCTTTTTTTTTTTTTTTTTTTTTGGTACCGGGGATTGAACTTGGGTCCTTGTGCTTGCGAGGCAGGCCACCGAACCGCTGAGATAAATCCCCAGCCCCGGGGAGTCTTTCAAAGAGCATAGTGAAGTGGTCACCTATCTTCTTGACATTTCTTTGAATAAACAACAAAAATCTCAGCATTCACCTCTAGAACAATGTTTTCCTCAGAAAGCAAAGCTCTGTCCTTTTAAATGGAAAAATCAAAAAATTAAAAAATAAAAATAAATGAGAATTTCTTTTGAGGAGTTCCATGAGAAGAATTAAACATTACATCAGTGGCAAGGCCTAGATTAAGATAAATTAGTTCATCGATGTCTTTGGGCATACTTACCTGGGGTGTTTAAAGTGGCTCCCCCGTATTTGACATGCATTTTAGGAGCAATACATACATCTGCAGGGTTCCATGATGCCAATCTAGAATTAAATGTCACAGAAGATTGTATTATTCATAGTGTATTAGTCAACTCTTTTGGTTGCAAATAATAGAAGTTCAGCTGCAAGCTAGTTTAAGGTCAAAAGAAAATGTATTGATCTGTATAACTTAAATGTCCAGTAGGCAGCTGGATGTGGTGACACACGCCTGTAATTCTAGTACTTGAGGGGCTGAGGGAGATGTCTTAGCTTGAGTTTAGGGCCAGCCTGGACTACATTGCAACATTCAGTTTCAGAAACCAACCCAAACAAAATTGGAGTAGGGGGAATGTAAATATTTCTTCACATATGGCTGGATCCAGATGTTCAAATAATGCCAATAGGAATCTGAAACTCGTTTTTCTTATATCAGCCCTGCTTTCATCATAATTGGTTTAAATCAGTCAGGCTGTCTTTGCCACCTCAGGCTTATGTCACTTTTTTCCTTCTTGTTGTTGTTTTGAGACAGGGTCTCGCTATGTAGTTCAGGTTGGCCTCAAACTCATGACGATCCTCCTACCTCAGCCTCCCAAGAGCTGGGATTACAGGCATGCTCCACCATGCCCAGCTCATCTCATTCTTATAACTTAAATCCAGTCATTTTAGTTACTTTCTCATTGTTGGAACAAAATACCTGACACCTACAAGTTAAAGGAAAGATTTATTTTGACTCACAGTTTGTAAAGTGTTCAATCTATAGTCATATGGCTCCAAGCAGAGAAGAATGGCACAGGAGAAACAGTCCCTGGCATGGCAGCAAGAATCAGAGAGTGTTCTTTCTGCCTTCCCTTTTTATTCCATCCAGGCTGCAAAATTATTGGTTGTTACCACCCACACCCAAGTTTGGTATTCTCTTATCAGTAAGTCCATCACCCATACCCAGAACCATGCTAAATCAGTGAACTAATCCAGTATTATGCACTCATGATCTAGTCACTAGCAAAACCCCACCTATGAATGTCTGAGGCTTTGGGGGGACATCTAGATATAAGCCATGACACCAGTGAACAGAATTTATTTAGTTCCAGAAAGTCCTGGGTTTGTGTCTCATTGGTTTAAACTTATTATAGTGGCCAAGGAAACAGATGACACTGGTTTACTAGGTTTGGGGCTTCCTTCCACCCTGCAGTGGGGCTTTGCTGGCAGTCTTGTCTGCATCATATGGATTTAGAATGGGGCAGAGCAGTCTCTGTAGGAGTAGTGAAATACACAGATGCTGGCTAGGTGGCAAAACGACAAATGCTCTCCATGTACATGGCAGAGAGTGTAGCACAGTATGAAATTCTATAGAGCACTTTTATATCATTATATTTAATTACAGAAATTGTGAGACTGCTAATATCCCTAGCCTGTAAATGAGTTTTTCTTTGCTAATGTTCTTGTGTCAATGGATTTCCTGAATTCTGCAGAACCTCACAAAATCAAAGGTACTAAGGATACTTGTTATTTGTATTGCTTAACTCCGCTTTCAGCATTTTAGAGATTTTGGTTTCTGAAAATCTGTGCCTCTATAAGGAAAATATTCTGTTTGTAAAATTCACTTTCTTTTACCTGGGAAAGGTGAGATTTATAGATTTAGGTTAATGTTGTGAAAGCTTACACATCACTGACTAGAGAGAAGAATTTGGACTCAGCTATTTCCCTTTTAGATAACTGCTTTAAAGAGTTAAAGACATGTTGTAGTGATACATTCTTATCCACATTTGTAGTAGCACAATTTATGACGGCTAAATCTTCAAAGCAGCTTATATGTCCAACAACAGATGAATGGATAAAGAAAATGTAGTATTTATACATAATGGGGAACTATTCTGCAGTAAAGAAGGAAACATTTAAGTCATTTCTAAGAAAATGGATGCACCTTCAGACAATAATGTTAAGTGATATAAATCAGACACATAAGCTTAAATATTGCATGGTTTCACTTACATGAGAAGCCAATGATATAAATAAATTAATGAGCAAATAAAAGATAATAAGAAACAGAGATAGATTTTTGCAAATGGGAAGGGGATAACAGGAGATGGACAGATGGAGAAGGAGAAGAGGGAAAAGGAAAGTAAAAGGAATTAAAGTGTGTTATATTCATGTACTAACTTCTCCATGATAAATGTAGTCATTATGTGCTGCAAACATGTACTAAAAAATAAAAATTAAAAAATAAGTAAATCTAATTATCCATCACTCATACTCCTACACATGGATAACTATGAATAGGCATTTTATTTAGTTACATTCAAAAATATGTTAAAGAAATATCTTTCTTTGTACCTAATATATTCAATCAGAAATAGGTGTTGATTAATATCAAGTACTGTGCATATTTCAATAAAGATAATTTTCTTGCACAAAAGAGACAAAAATTTTAAACTGTTAAATTTTAATGACATAATTAGGATGATTATTTGTTCAAATTTTCTTGTATTTATAAAAAGCTTGTTAACTTTATTAAAAAGCAAACATTTATTTTCTATCTTTTTTTACTTAAAAATTTCCTAGTAGAGTAAATATCTATTTAGAAAAAGCCAATCTCTAAATCAATTCAGACTCATTGTATATTGGAAATTTTTTTTATGACTCTGTTGAAACTCTACAGGAATATTTGTATAATATCACTGTTTTAAATTTTAGTACTTTTGGGTAATTACCTTTTATTTTTCAAAATAAAAGAGATTTTTCATGAAGATCAATGCAAAAGATTAAAACGAGGGGGGAAGGAGAGAGAGGAGAGGAATTTTGAATAAGGCTAATCTATCCTTAGACTTCATACAAGGGCATTAGTAAAATAGAAAACGGCCTTATTTCCAAGGAAGGCCTTAGTTACACTCTGTGCTCACTGGCAAGAACCCCAAAGATTGCACTACAGAACACCACCATGTAAATGGGTTTGAATGTGCTATGCAAATTGAGGAAGACTAATTCACAGGTATGCGCCTTTTACTTCAGAACTAAGAGACTCTGAAGCTAGTGTTCTTTCAAATAAAGGTTTACAGCCAGGAGTGGTGGTACACACCTGTAATCACCGCACTCTGGAGGCTGAGGCAGGAGGATCGCTGTGAGTTCCAGACCAGCCTGTGCTACATAGTGAGTTCCAGGTCAGTCGCAACTACACAGTGAGACCCTGTCTCAATAAAACAAAAACAAAAACAAACAAAAATAATAGTAATAAAATAGAACAAATAAAGGTTTACAATAAAGACTGTTGTTCACCCATTATTTTATTATTCATCCATCCAATGAACCTATGCTTCAAGTGTCTAGTATATGCCAAGCCCTGGAAAATAGTGCATAGTAAGACCTATCTCTTGTTTTCAAGGACCTCAGAGTCCTTTGGATGACAGACTTGCAAAGCAACTGCAACACAGGATGAGAATCATTATGAGTGAGATAGGACAGAAAGGGCATGAGAGAAAGTGTCTGGCTTGGGGAGTCTTACAAGCTTCAGAAAAGGGGTAGTCATTTTTAATGACTGCATAATAAGTCACCTTATGGATGAGCTCATAAAGCTCATTCTCTTTCTCTCATGTTTCACACATTTGCCTGCCTATCTATCTATCTATCTATCTATCTATCTATCTATCTATCTATGTATTTAGCTATCATCTATCTATTCATCCAGTGCTTCTATCATCCTTGCAATGCTCACAGATGGCTTATTCTAGAGATTATACAGAATAATCATCGGGTATGCAGAATATCCAATTAATATAATGTCATGTATATGTTCTCATGTTCTTAAAAATCCTTTAAGAATGTCATTTGAAATTAGGCTTTATAAAAAAATAAAGAGGGAAATATACTAAAAACAAATAAATAAGAAAAACTAAAATTAGTCTTTAAATTTTAAGATAATTGTGTACTCATAAACAGTTGTTAAGAAACAGCACTGTCTTAGTTATGTCCTTGTTGCTGAGACACAATACTCAACCCCTGAAAGTTAGAGAAAAGGTTTATTTTAGCTCACAGTTTGTGGAGGTTTCAGTCTATAGCCCTCTGGTCTACAGCAGGACAGCATGGCAAGAGGTGCATAGCAGAGAAGTTGCATACATCATGGTGGCAGGGAAGCCGAGAGAAAGCATGAAGGGAGGAGTGATGGAGGGATATGCACACTTCCAGACCAAGTGACCTACCTCTTCCAACCAGGTTCTACCTCCTCACATCACACTTAATTATAAAATCAATAAAGGACTCATCCATTGATGAGTATCATGCCCCTATGATTGAATCTCATCCCAAAAGCCCCACCTCTGAGGGCATGAAGTTTTGAGGAACATCTAGATATAAACCATAACAAATATGGAAAGATCTGTCTAGTTTCTACCAATGACACTGTATTATCCAGCTTTCCCACTGCTGGAACAAAATGCCTAACACCCTCAAAGAATGAGATGAGGTTTCATTTGACTCATGGTTTCAGGGGATTTAGTCCATTGTTAGCTGTCTCCAAGGGAGAAATATCATAGCAGAATGATGCAGTGGAGCAAGACCACACACTTCATGGGAGCTGGGAGACAGCATGGTAACAGTGCCAGTGTTGAAGTGATGAAGGCCCATATATAGTACCCAAAGTTACTTCCATGATTCACTAAAACACACCCAGAAGTGTGCTTTTTTAATTCCCTGGGTACTTTTTAATCCAATCAAATTGACATATCATAACTATACTTAATCTCCAAATAAACAATAACGTCAATAATTCATCTTACATGATTCAACTATCTTGCCTACAACTAAAAATTCCATATTCCCTTTCCAAAGTCTCAAGAGTTCCAACATTTTTTCAGAAATCCCGGTCAGCATTTCTACTGAGACTCAAGGCAAACACTTAGCTATAAACGTGTATAAATGTCAAAAACAAGTTACATAATACCAAAGTCCATACAATAATATAAATATTCCCATTCTTAAAGGGAGGAATATGGGGATATAAAATAATCAGTCTAAAGCAAGACAGAAATGCAGCAGGGCAAATATCAAATCCTGTGCCTCCATATCTAGTATCC